CAGCACGTTCCCTTGAGCCTGGGGGGTGTCCCTCAGCCCAGCCACGGTACCCAGAAGACGCCGTGTGACCTGGGCTGACTCTCTGAGGCCCAGTGACCCATGCTGTAAATAAATAAAGAACTGTAACCCTCTCGTGGGTTTACTGTGACAAGTAGAGACAGCGAAGGTACCCAAGGGGGTCTGCCCAGGGCCTTGCGCACGGGAACTCCTCCAACAGATTTGTCGCCAGCCATAGCAGAGCCTGTCGCCACCACGGCACCCTGAGCAGTGTGAAGAAGCCGCCCAGTGACCTAGCAGGAGCTCACAGCGTCTCTGAGAACAAGGCTGGCTGGAGAGGGGCGGTGCCACACAAGAGACCTGCGCCAGCCCACTAGGCCTGCTGCAGTCCCAGGAGAGGGTGTGCGTTCGCTAAAAGTCCGCAGTGCCTCACCGAAACTCCCCGCAGAAGGCTGCGATGCATTCGGGGGAGCCCAGATGTTAGCGCATCTCGCGGCATCGACAGGCTGCTCTCGGGCCACTGAAGGGACCCCCTCAGAGGCCTGCCGCGATCCAGGCCCCGGCCTCTCTGTGGGGTCCCCGGCCCTCTCCCTCACTGTAGATCAGGGACCTGACGGAGGCCTGGGGGTCCGCTGATCACCCCAAGCCCTTCTTCTTCCGTTCCTGTCCACCGTGGCGCTCCTGTTCTCTCTGCTTCGGTCCCTGAAAAGGCACCCAACCCCTTTGATGGACCCTGAAAATCTCTACTGCTAATAACTAAGGAAACAGAAAGAGATTTAAGGGGAGGGTTGCAAAAAATAGTCAGCAGACAAATGGCCTCTGGTCTGCGCCAGGAGGGAGGAACGGGGGTGACGGCGCCAGGAGGGAGGAACGGGGGTGACGGCGCCCATTTCCCCTTGCTGACTCAGCACTCTCGATCTTTCTTTTCTTTTTTTAAGACAAAACTACCTTGACTTAAAATTTTGTTATTTTATTCATCATTCATGTTTTGGCATTTTTATTTTTTTAATATTATATTAAAACGTCATCTGTCTTAATGGCCAAGTTTTCTGATCTTAAATTTTGTACCTGAGGCGTGTATCTCCCTCCTCTCCCCACATCCAGGCCCTGAGTGTGAGCTGCCTGTGTCTTCACTGGGTGTCTCTCGTACTACACGGCCCCCAGCCCCTCCTGTAACCTGCTACAAGGAACAGGATCAGCCCATCTGCCACTTCTGTTTGTTCCTTCATTCTCCCAACCAACACAGACTATACCAACTCACTCACTCATCCAATATTTATTCCCCACCTGCTGTGTGCCAATCACTTCGCCGGGCTCCAGGGAGTGAGCAAGACAGGCACAGTTCTTACCTGAGTGCAGGGGCTCACGCCTGTAACAGAAACGAGGACAGCTGAGGCAAGAGGGCCACAAGTTCAAGTCCTGCCTGGGCAACTTAGTGAAATCTTGTCTCAAAATAAGATAAAATAAAATAAAATAAAATAAATAGGGCTGGGGATGTAGATCAATGGTAGAGCACCCCTGGGTTCGATTCCTAGTACCACAAAACAGGACAACATAAAACAAAGTTCTTGACCTCTAGCATGGGAAGCTATGGCAATACATATATTCTAAAGAATGCAAAATAAGCCGGGCATGGTGGCTCACGCCTGTAATCCCAGCACTCGGGAGGCTGAGGCAGGAGGATCCCTGTGAGTTCTAGGCTACCCTGAGCTATACAGTGAGTTCCAGGTCAGCCTCAACTACATAGTGAGACCCTGTCTCAAAAAAAAAAAAAAAAAAAAAAAAATTAAAAACAGATTGCAGAAAAAAAAATTTGCCAA